TCTGCTTCTCTATCTTTCGGTCTATAAAATATTCCTGGAACACTTAACATACTAACTACTGTTAATATCTCTTCAGTGCATCCTAATTAATCTCCTTTTATTAACATTTTTGATAAAGGAGGATCTAATGGAAATTCACTCATCTTTCTACCTAAATCTGTTAATTCACCTACATTATCTAATGCACCCAATACCCATAATTAATACATTGCATTTAATATTGTATCTTATGGAGGAGGATCCATAAAATCAAAATCTAATAAATTATTAATATTTAAAGATTTTAATAACAATACTACATTTGCTAAATTTGTTCTTTATATTTCAGGAATATTATTTTCTAACATATCTTATCTATAATTCAAAGATGAATACAATCTAAAACAAATACCAGGTCCAGTTCTTCCAGCTCTACCTTTCCTTTAATCTGCATTTGCTTATGATATTGGAGTAACCTATAATGCATCCATACCAATTCTTGGATTATATACTTTCATTTTACAATATCCAGTATCAATCACATATTTCACTCCATCTAATGTTAATGATGTTTCTGCTATATTTGTTGCAACTATACATTTTCTAAATTCACTCTTCTCAAATATCCTTGCCTACTCTTCAGATCTCAATTAAGAATATATTGGTAAAATCAAAAGTGGAGGTGTTGCCTCACTTAATTTATTTAATTCCTCTGCTAATAAATAACATGTTGTCTCTATATCTTCTTGTCCTGTCATAAATATTAAAACATCTCCAGGAGGTTATTAAATATGAACTTCTATTGTTTTCTTTATTGCGCTTCTTACATAATCTTAAGCAGGAGCTTTCTCAAATCTTACATCAACTGGAAATGTTCTACCTGGAATTTTATATATTGGTACTCCTCCAAAAAAATCACTAAACTTTTTTGCATTCATTGTAGCTGATGTTATTACTATTCTTATATCTCTTCTTCTTTAAGCTACTTTCTTCAATATTCCAAATAAAACATCAGTATTTAATGATCTTTCATGTGCCTCATCCATTATCACAGCAGAATATTTCTCCAAATCAGGATCTTATAAAGATTCTCTCAATAATACACCATCAGTCATATATTTTATTACTGTATCCTTACTAGTATAATCCTCAAAACGAATTGCATATCCCACTTTACTTCCTAATTCTACTCCCATCTCTTCAGCTACTCTTTTTGCTACTGATACTGCTGCCACCCTTCTTGGCTATGTACAACCTATCACACCTGTGTTTGTATATCCTTCTTCATATAAATATTAAGTCAATTAAGTAGTCTTACCTGATCCTGTCTCCCCTACTATTATACAAACTCTATTATCATGTAATAATTGAACTAATTCTGATCTACAGTGAAATACTGGTAAGTATTCTCTTTGCTCTTTTATTGTCTTGTTTCTTGCAAAATCACTCTAACCCTATGTCACTCTCTATAATGCTGTCTAATAACGAGAAGAAGCCTTAAAATCATAATCTCCATCCTCATTCAATAAATGTCTATCAGGATCTAATTCTTTTTTCCTATCTAAGTTCATTACTTTCCCCATTTTTGATCCACTTAATTCCCAAAATCTCTCTCTCATTTTTGTTTTATCCTATTTCTCTCTCATCAACATTAAAACTTCTGAACCTTATTTTGCCAACTTTGCCATATCTGAATTTGGATCCTTAACTATTTATACTTGTGTTAACTAAGTTGTGTAAACAACTTTTCCATCAAGAAAAGGAGGTTTGATATCATGTACATGTATTACAACTCTTTTTTCATTTTCTTCTTCATAAAAATCCCAAGCATCAGCTTTTCTTTTAAATACATCTGATGCAATCATTCTATTAAGTTCCCATCTATTTTATTCTTAATTTTTCTCAGATTATCTCACAGTCTAACCTTTACGTTTACTATTTTCTTCAAATTTAAATTCTTCTTTTTATCCTTTAAATATTTCACCACCCCAATCTTATTAAGATGCATTCCCAATATCATCTTCATCGTAATCATACCACTTCCTATCGGATTCTTATTCTAAATTTTCCCATTCAAACGCAGTGTATTCATTTAACAATTTATTGCGCTTTCTTTCTTCTTCTAATTTCTCTGAACGAGCAGGAGGTTTTTTAAACCCATCTGCATCTTCTTCAAATTAAGCCTGAGCATTTCTTTAGACACTTGAATTTTCTGTGCCTTTAAACAGCATAGGACCAGCAGAGACTTTAAACTAGCTGCTAACTGAAGACGAACTTCTATAGAGAGATTCCCTGTAAAAAGGAGCCTATCTACCTTTACTATCCTCTCTCGATCGACTCTCTCTATCCATTCTTCTATTTCAATTAAAAATTTTATATTAATTCATTTTAATTATCAGAGATAAAGAATTAAGTATATTATCAACTAAATAAATAGAAGAGAGTTTCAAAAAGTAATTCAGAAAATCCTGAAGATTTGCATAATTTAAAAGAAAGATCTAATAACACTTAAATCTACTCCAAATTTATAATAAGTCTTGGTAGTTTGATTGATATTTAACAAAATTTTATATCATATTTAGTTTTTTTATTCTCTGGCTAGCCTAATAATTTTTATTCTATCGTCTGGTACAATCACAGCCTGCTTTATGTTAGAGAAAAAGATTGAGGAATCATATATTCATTATTACTCTAAAATTTTTAAGGAATTAATCGGATCATTCTTAGCTTCAATTTTGCATATAATTTTAGTAAGTAAATTAATACAAATTTAATATTTTTTTGCTTATCTCTTATCTTATATTTTTTAAACAGAATAACGTTAGAATTCTAAGAATAATATATTTGATAAATCAGAAAATTTAGGGATGAGAATTTGACATCTATTTAAAAAAGAATAGTGAAAACTATAACAACTGTAGTATTTAATAATCTTCTTGCTGGTTATTATTCAATTTTTATTGATTAAGGATTTATATTTCTATCAAAAATTAAATACTCCTGGATTTCTGATAACAGTCTTCCCGTTTGTATCAATTTAAGGAATTTTAATTTTTAATTTAGAACAGCTTAAGATGTAAAAGTATCTAATGCATCTTTTTAAGTTTTTATGAAGGTATTTGTGCTTCCTGTAATTTATTTGAAAGATAGATTAAAAGAAATAATCATTTTTAGTTCCATTACATGTTTTTTTTATGTATCTATTTTTTATACAGACCAAATTCAAATATCAAGCCTTTAGAATAATTGAGAAGAGTTTAAAAATTAGAGACGTGATAATCATTTTGGATAATCATTTTGAATTGTTAAGTGGAGGATTATACCATATATTCTTTTATATCATTGTTTATGTAAACTAAGTTTTAATACTTTCCTTAATTTGATTGGTATGGTATTTGTATAACTTGAGTAATTTTGAATGGATTGGAATGAATTCCCTTTTAATGATAATGGATGTTATTATAGAAATTGATGGTTTGTATTTTTCAATAAATGTTTTAATAATTGATTACAAATATAATAAAATTATTATGTTTAATAATTATATGAATCCTCGAATGATGCTTAATAACAGGGGACAGTAATCACAATAGCCAAATGGAGTTAGAAATGATTATTAAAGTGTAGTTTAAGTAAAGTTTTGTAATCAATCTAATTAAGGGAATATAATCATTGATGGGAATCTCATTTTCAACTGTTTAATTATGTATATTTGGTTCAATGTTAATGGAGAAAACTAAGAAATTGTTAGAGTTCATTAAATCAGGAACTGTCACTTCAATTAATAAACTTTTAACTTTGCTTAGAATTAAACAATTTTTAAAGGGAGAACTGACTATGACATAGATAGGTAAATCAGTAGTAAACACTAGTAACAATATTGGTAAGTAATGGATCATCGCAATTCGATTGCTTTTATTAGTTGGTAATCTTAATTTAAATATACAGTCATTGTATTGATTGGTGCGTTGTTGGCATACATGAAGAAAAAAATCAAAGAAAAATAATAAAGCGAAGTTACCTAAAAATAATCAGATGTTGAAGAGTCAGAATTTTAATAACAATTAGATACATAGGCTGACACATCTCAATTACCAATATAATAGAACGATTTCTGGAATCATAATGAAGACAATTAATCTAATAAAGAATAATAAATTCAATAATAATAATAATCAAATCCTGTCCCAACAATCAACTATCTAAATGATCTCCCTGGATTCTCCAACATTGGTAATTCTAGTAAACCATGGATGAAATGATCAAATTTATTATTTTAATATGTATNTGAAGGTATTTGTGCTTCCTGTAATTTATTTGAAAGATAGATTAAAAGAAATAATCATTTTTAGTTCCATTACATGTTTTTTTTATGTATCTATTTTTTATACAGACCAAATTCAAATATCAAGCCTTTAGAATAATTGAGAAGAGTTTAAAAATTAGAGACGTGATAATCATTTTGGATAATCATTTTGAATTGTTAAGTGGAGGATTATACCATATATTCTTTTATATCATTGTTTATGTAAACTAAGTTTTAATACTTTCCTTAATTTGATTGGTATGGTATTTGTATAACTTGAGTAATTTTGAATGGATTGGAATGAATTCCCTTTTAATGATAATGGATGTTATTATAGAAATTGATGGTTTGTATTTTTCAATAAATGTTTTAATAATTGATTACAAATATAATAAAATTATTATGTTTAATAATTATATGAATCCTCGAATGATGCTTAATAACAGGGGACAGTAATCACAATAGCCAAATGGAGTTAGAAATGATTATTAAAGTGTAGTTTAAGTAAAGTTTTGTAATCAATCTAATTAAGGGAATATAATCATTGATGGGAATCTCATTTTCAACTGTTTAATTATGTATATTTGGTTCAATGTTAATGGAGAAAACTAAGAAATTGTTAGAGTTCATTAAATCAGGAACTGTCACTTCAATTAATAAACTTTTAACTTTGCTTAGAATTAAACAATTTTTAAAGGGAGAACTGACTATGACATAGATAGGTAAATCAGTAGTAAACACTAGTAACAATATTGGTAAGTAATGGATCATCGCAATTCGATTGCTTTTATTAGTTGGTAATCTTAATTTAAATATACAGTCATTGTATTGATTGGTGCGTTGTTGGCATACATGAAGAAAAAAATCAAAGAAAAATAATAAAGCGAAGTTACCTAAAAATAATCAGATGTTGAAGAGTCAGAATTTTAATAACAATTAGATACATAGGCTGACACATCTCAATTACCAATATAATAGAACGATTTCTGGAATCATAATGAAGACAATTAATCTAATAAAGAATAATAAATTCAATAATAATAATAATCAAATCCTGTCCCAACAATCAACTATCTAAATGATCTCCCTGGATTCTCCAACATTGGTAATTCTAGTAAACCATGGATGAAATGATCAAATTTATTATTTTAATATGTATATATTGTATTTTACAAAATAAGTAAATCACATTTTGAAATCAAAATTGATGCCCAGATTTTCATTTGAAGATGTGTAAATGTAATAGAAATCAAGTAATTCAAGTAATATTATAGATTGAAAATCTGAAATATTTAAATAATATTAAAAATTCTTTAAAACTAAAAACTATTTAAATTATTAATGAAACCTAGAATTAGAATCATTCGTTAAAGTGGCGTCATTTAGGTAATATCTACAGTTAAAATATAAATTAAGTTGGATAAATATCTGTTAGAGCTATTTCGATTAATTCCCCAGATGGTTTACCAATATAAATTGTGAGAAATTGTCAAATATTATTCTTATTAAAATAAAAGTATAAAATAGTTTTATCTCATTTGGCTGCATCAAGAGGTTATTTTGCACTTTGTATAGGAGATAAATATAAAATCTATTATTATTTAATTTTAGATTCAATAATTTTATTCTAATGATTAGATTAAATTATTTTAGCTCTTTACTCATTTCATCAGTTAAGCAGATAAAATTGCAGATACATAAATTGTTTATCTGCAAAGTTTTTGCTAAATTATTGTTCAGAGTTGATGTTATTATTTAATGATATGGATTGAAAAATGTTTTACAACAATTAGGAAATTAAATTTTAGCTTTTTATCTTCTCAATGAGTAAATATATTGGAATACCACATTAAATGCTTATTGTCTGAATTAATTTTACAGAAAAAACTTAATAGATTTACGTATGGTTTTGCTGAAGAGTATACTAGAGAATAAGTGAAATAATTAGATTGATAGATGATTTTGGAAATTTCGAGATTAGTCTATTTTGCAAATAGAATTGAATAACTTAAATAATTAAGTAAACTTTGGGTTAACTGTTTTAAAATTTTTAGAAAATTTAATTTTTTTATATTTCTTAAGAAATTTATAATCCTATCTCAGATTAGTAAATATGTATATATAAAATAAAATATTAAATAAACAAAAAGTCTTATTTAAATTATTGAGACATACAAAAAAACTTAAAAAAAATATCTAAATTAAAAATAACATGTAAATTGAAAGGTTTTTTTCATTAATTAAAGTTTAGATTTAATTGACAATTTATTATTTGAGAGTAACAAAATTAATTAGATTTTTGAAATATGATGCATCAAACAATATTTTAATAATTCATAAATAGACAACCATATACATAAAAAATAATGATTTTGAATTGAGTTATTGGATCGAAATACTAGTTAAGTTGCTAAATGAATGATATTAAACGATTTATTTTGATAAGTTATTTCTTCGATGATTATCTGTTTTGTAGGAAACAAAAAAATAAAAACCAATAGTAAAATAGTAAAGGAAACTTTTGATGAGTTTAAATCATAATAGAAGGGAGGTTGAATAAAAATATATTTGTAGCTAATCAGTAAATATCAATTTTAAAATATATGTTTTTACAAATATTATTTATCTTCTTAAGCCTTTGTAGTGCAACATAAATTTATCAAAAAACATCACAAACTGTATATTTGGAGTTTAGTTACAAATTAGACTCATCAAAACAATACTTAATAGAAGTAATTTAATAGGAGTTAATAATTAGTTGATTATAAAAAAATTCCCAGATGATCAATCTTGCCTTCCTTATTTAGAGGTTAATTAAACCTTTAAAGGTGTTACTTAAACCCTGAATGATGAATAAGGATATGCAACAAAATAAAAAGTCTAATAAATAAATGTTTAGGGTGATGAGATTCAAATAGGAGTTTCTAATAAAAAGTTAATTTTCCTACCTGAATCTAATCTTAGCAAAGAAATATCATTTACAATTACAATTTTTGATTCAGTATTAAATTTAAAAAATATACTAATAGCCTCGTGATAAGTTGGTTTGCAATTTTCCATCATATGGATAAGATTGTTAGTAAGATATGGAAGAAATTGAAACAGAAACTTCAACGACTTTGATTGTGCCTAAATATTCTTGGAACTATGTATATTATATATTGGATAACTATGATTATAAAGTATAATAAAAAATAAATAATTTAGATTGAAGCTGAAAGTGATTGGGCATCATTTGTAGTAGCTCTATTGCCTATAGATAAGGCGAACATAACAATTTTACCATCATTTTAGTCAAATCTATTCTTACTAAGCTAAAATGGTGATAGCTAAGATGTTAAATTGAAAAGATAATCAGAAATTTAATCATACGTTTTTGCAGTTGGAGTATACAATCTCAATGACGATGCAGCAATTACATTAACTTTACATCAGTAATCTGAAGATGAAGAAGATTCATTTCCTTTATGGGCTATTCTTACAATTATTGGTGTGTTTATACTAGGAATATTAATTTCAATATTTATAATATGTCAAATTAGAAAATAAGCTAAAGTATATGAAGAATAACCTAAAATCTCAATTGAAATTTTAGATAAGTATATGCCTATAAAATAAGTACCTAAACATTAACTTACTGAAACATGTTGTATATGTTTAGTCTAATTTTTAAGAAGAGATTAAACAAGAGAAACTCCTTGTAAACATTTCTTCCATACAAATTGTTTAAGAGATTGGACAAGAAAGAATACAACATGTCCTGTATGTCGTTAAGAATTAGGAGAGGCAGATATTTAGAAATATCTGTGTTTGAGTTAATAAATGACTCATAAAAATGAAATAGATAATTCTAATTCTCATTAAGGTGAATTACCAAAGATACCTCTTACTCATCTTAGAATTGGAGATCATGAAATCAATACCAGAGGAATCATTATTATAGATAATTCACCTTCTAATTAACATTCGAATTCCGATAGGATGAGTCTAAATTTGATAGAGGATCAAATTGTTGAAAATTGAATATTGATATTATTATATATAATTCTATTTCCAATTCTAATTCAGTTTTTACTTATATATTTATTTAGCTTTTAAATTTCTTATATCTATTAGGATCTTTAATGTTTATTAATTCACTTCTTTATAAATACACACTCTTATTGTTTAATAAAATTTCATGTAATTATGTTATTCTATATAACTTAAATTTTAGTAAATTTATGATTGGAAAATATAAAATATGTGAACCAATTGGTTAAGGCTATTCATGTAAAGTTTATAGGGCATAATGTTCAGAAACTAATTAATTTTATGCTATTAAGGTTATAAATCATTAATAGATGAGTGAGCCTTAAATGAAATTACTTGGAACAGAAATTGAAATCTTACAAACTTTAAATTGCTAGAACATCATTAAATTGATTGACATTATTAAGAACACTTCTAATACGTTTATTATAACTGAATTATGTTAATATGGGAGTTTAGAAGGTATTTTTAGAAAATACTTCATAGATCAAATGAATAAAAATAAACAGTTTAATGAAGTACAAGCATTGAATTTTTTGAATTAAATGTGCAATGCCTTATTGACTTTAAAGAAACAAAGTAATAGAAACACCTTATTTAGAAATAATACATAATGATATTAAACCATCTAATATCTTTATTTCATAGAATTGTTTCAAATTAGCTGATTTTGGGTTCGCTATGAAAGAAAATTAAAATTACTAGTTTAACTTTGGAAGTCCTCTGTACATGTCTCCAGAAACCCTAACAAATAACCAACATACATATTAATCAGATATTTGGTCTTTGGGAATCACAGTTTACTAATTACTTCATGGCTACACACCTTTTAAAGCATAAAACGAGAAAGAACTTCTTCTTTGCTATATCAATAATTCTATTCCATTTAATAAAGAAATCAGTTCTAAAATGCAAGCAATTATATCAAATATGTTGGTAATAGATCCTTAAAAAAGAATAACAATAGAAAAGTTGCAGATATTAATAGTTGATAAAGAAAACAGCATGATATCTTCATCTTTTCATTAGAGAACGAAATCTCTCTCTTATGACAAATAACCTTTCTAATTTAAGGAATAGACTTTAAATATCTGCTTATTTGTAAAATCAGTAAGATAGGAAATTTAAGATAATGAATTATTAGTATATGCTCTTACTGGAATTATACTTTACTATACTAAATAAGATTAAGGTAATTTGTAAAGTTATCTTAGAAAACGAATATAACTAGATAACAGTGATTGTCCAATAATAGAAGTAGCCAAACATTTTCTAAATGATGAAAAGCGATCTTTTGAAATTTTGCATGTCCTAGTTAGTACTCAGCATTAATCTCCTCACTGATCAGTTGAAGTAACTAAATCCAGTATGTATAATTAATAAATAGTCAGAATTTCTATCATGTTCAAACAAAAAATGTTAGATTATTGGTCAATTTATATAATTTATATATGTTTCTAAGATCTGGTGAATAGAATAGGCCACTAGTACTTGTAAATTAAAATATTACCTTTCAAGAAGCATAGTAATTGTTAAGCCAGATCAATATTTGATTTTATAATTTATTATCATTAAATATTTACATTAAAAGTCATATTTAATCTTGATGATAAGTTACACAATTTTATTTATCTACTCTAAATATCATTCATATAATAAATATAGTAAATTATAATAATTTATGCAATTATCAATTATCAAAGAAGGAAGATTATAATTTTTATAATTAATCAATAATCAAGATATAATGATCAGATATGTCATTGACGCTTTATAGCCATTTTTGCTTTTAGAAAATATTTACCAAAAGTAAAATGACTTGATGAAACAATAATCTTTTAAATAAAGATAATTTGTGTTTAGAGCAAATAACTAAGACAAAAAATTTCTATCTTCAAAATAAGATCAATATTTCAATCAACCAAAAAAAATAAAAATACAATGAATTATTAGAGATTTATTTTACAATAAATGAGTTTGTTATTTAAAGTGACTTTGTTGAAATTTTATAACTTTAAGAATCAATAAAAAAAGGATTAATATTAATTTTAAACAAGACACATCAGATTTGGAGATTTTTATAATATCTTAAAGAATAGATAAATTAAAATCTGCCTTCTCATTTTCTATTAAGTATTTTTTAGGATTAAAAATCAAAAATTCTTAGGAAATAAAAGTAATGGTATGAAAGAAAATGCTAACCAGATTAGAATATAAATCAAATTGGTATGATAAAGCAGAAAAGAGTAAGAAAATGGCTTTTTGTATAATTTTAATTAAGGAATTAAAGTACTTTGTTAATATAAATCATATCGATCATAATCAAATTAATGATTGTTTATTTTATTATGTTTATAGATAGTTATCATTATTTATAAAATTTATCTCAAATAAAATACAATGAAACCTTGGAACAAAAACAGAGCTAATTCTTTATTGTTAAAAGATTCAGTTGGAGCTGCAAAATAATCAATCTATACAATTCCAAATGATATTTATTTTGGAAAAGCAATTGTTCATGATAATGAAGGTGCATAACAAGGTAAAATTTATTTTTTTGATTTATAGTAACTTCAACTTGGTATTATCATAATAATAGTGAAGAGAATCCTCAGGATAGAGATTTTATGAAATTGAATAAAATGTGCATTACAAGTAAATTGCATGATTAGAAACAATTTTATGTTTTCCGAAAAAGTAACGATGCAAGAGTTTTTAGAAGAAGAGGTTGCAGTTAAATTGAAATGAATTTACCTGATGAAAATTTTCGATATGGCAAACCATATTTACCTTAATCACCAATGAAAAATATTTTGGGTGGCAGTTATATGAATGAAGCATAATAATTAATGGATAAGAAATATGAAGCAATTACAAAATAGAAACAATAATAAAATAAAAGACCATCAACAGCTACAAAACATACTAAGGCTAGTAAATTGGCTTATCAAAGTTTAGTCAAATCTTTAAATAAAACATAGAATCCATAATTTAAGCTAAAAGAATTCGAAAAAGTAGAACCTAAAACTAAAACAAGATTTTGATTATTTATTTATATTAAATATTATTTATTTATTAATAAAGATCAAATGGAAAAAATAGTTGTTTGTGCTATTAATTCAGATATATAATTAGATGGTATAGAGTTGTCAATTGTTCAATTTACTTATCTTGATTAAGATACAGATTAATGGTCAATAACTAATCTTTTTTTTCAATAGTTTGGATATCCGGAAGATCTAAGAAAATAAATTATTTCTACAATAAAAGAATGTTCTAAAAAAACACAAGATAAGTTTGATGATAAATTAATAAATTAATTAGAAATAGAATATGGCGAATTTATATCTAAAATATTGGATTAAATAGAATAATAAATTTAAATTAATTCTGTTAATTTATTTGCATTTAATACACTTCTTATACAATTAATAGAAATTGATGCTAAAAAACTAAAATCAGCAGCATTTTTGAATAAGTTTTGTTAATAATTTGCAATTAAATACTAAATAAGAGTAATTTGTAACTTTTTTGCTTATGATTTTTATCTAGAAGGAAATGGAGGACCTTATTAAATTATTGGTTAAGCCAAATTATTTGAATAATAAAATGCTATGTTGAATTTATCAGGTTTTGCATCTTTTACACATTTTTTAAATAAAGATGATAAAGAAACATATTAAGGAGATTTTATTTGTCCTGCTATGTTTGCTCTTAATTATGCTTCTAATTGGAAAAAAGAGCTCTTAAATTAAGATACAACTATTGTTGATGAAGAATTTTTATAGCAATTGCAAAGTTCATAAAAATTCAAATACACAGTTTATTCTATGGGTAAATTAATGGAATTTATAGATTAGTAAAACATAAATCCAGCTCTTAAAGTTGCCACATTAAAATAGTATATTTCCTAAGAAATTTAATCTTATCTAGAGAGTCTCAATTAACAAGGCAAGGTTTATGTTGGTGGAAATTTCTCTGAAGAATTATTTAAGTTCTTATAATAAGAAATTAAATAAATAGAATTTTTGAAATCTAAGGATTATTAATAGATTGATTCAATTATAACTGGATTCCTAGCAGTCAGAAAAAATAAACTATTACTAAATGTTTTTAAAGGTGTTACTAAAGCTATAAGTGATCATAGTAGTGGAATTATTTATATTCAATCTGAATAACCTATAATACTTACAAGGGAACCAGAAATTTAGCAAGTACCTTAGGAACTTAAATAAAGTTTGGATAATTCTGATGATTTTGAATTAGCAATCTAAAATTTGGATGAAGTCTAGAATATAAAGATTTCTTAAATAAAACTACAAAGTAAAAAATGATTAATATAAATATTAAATTTAAAATTTGAAACAATGTAAGAACTCTTGGCTTAAAAATATGCTGAATTATCTTAAAATGTTTTAGAAAACGTCGAATTTGCTTAAGCAGGTAAAAATTAATCTATTATGTAGAGGAATTATATAAAGAGTTGTTAAAAAACTTGAGTGAAGAGCTTTCGATTGAATAATTAAAATAATTAGGAAATTAATTGGTATATAAAAAGAAATATAATTTTAGGTTGACTTTTAATTAGCAATATAGTAGGATGAATTTATTTAAAGAAAGAGAGCAAAGGAAGAAACATTGGATAAAGAATAATTATTACATAAGGAATATCCAAACTTATAAGATAAATTATTAAAATTAAAATAAAATTGCCAAGAGATAGATTAAAGTGCAAAAAAAATAAATGAGACTCTTAAAAAATTACCAGAAATAGAAGAAGCTAATAGAAAATAAATGAAAGATAAATTTTATGTTGATGTAAAAGAAGTAAAGGATAAAATCCAAAAAGAAGAATGTGATGCCTTAAAATTTGCTGAAGAAAATTTAAAGTATATGAATTTTCAATATAATAGAATTCGTGAAGATATGTAAACATTAATTGCATAATATGAATAAAAAGAAAAGGATTTTTGGGAAAAAGTTAAATAGAATGAAGAGGAATAAAAAAATGATACTAAAAAATATATGGAAAAATTCGAAAAGATGTAGGGGGATGCTTAAAAGGCAATGCAAGAAAAATAATTAATTTAAGATGCATAAAAGTAATTAAACGATAAGAAAATGAAATTATAAGTCTATAAAGGAAAATAAAATGAATTTATTGAAACTTTCGAAAAATCAACTAGTACATTTTAAAGTTTGACAGTTGAATTTGTAAAATTAGCCTTTAAATCTAAAGAGGATGAAGAAAAATATAATTTAAATTAATAAAGAGCTGATAAAGCTAATCTATTATCACTTGAAATAGCATAAATAGTATTTTTTATCATAATAATAAGAATGTTGATTTAAAATAATCAATTGAAAATATCGAAAAGGAAAAAGATAAATTAAGGGCAGAAATCTTAGAACTTAATAATCAAAAAAAACTTTAAAGTTTAAATTAATAACAGTAAAAAAGTAATGGTGAAAATTGATTTAAATCGGGTATTCAAACAAAAAAATAGTCATTCAATTTTTTATTTAATTTGTTAATTCTTCTTTTTTATAATAGATAATCCAAAAAATCTAAACACTCCATAAAGAAATAAAATTATTAAAGTCAAAAGAACCATACATATTTTCAATACTTTCACTATTTAAAAAAACAACAGCATTTAAAAAAAAGCATTTATTTTATTTTTAAAATTCCAAAAGTACTTAAGAATTATTGGAACAGTTTCAATATCCTCACATTTTATGTCAGTTTTTTTATTAAAGCCAATTTAGTATAAAAGTGAAGTTTCATTATAAATTGAAATTTTTTATTCATCAATGTCAATAAGAGCATAGTTTTTATCAGCAAATCGTTCATAATATTATGAATATGTGTCTGGCTAAAATAATTCTGCGAAAAATTCAAAAAGACCTCTTAATATATTTCGATAATGAGATCCATATGATAATCCAGATGAACAAACTTCAATTATGTTTGTACATGGGTCTTATAAAATTTCAGCAAAGTGAACATCTCCTGTTATGAGTAATACATTTTTATGTTTTAACATTTAAAGTAGTCTATTTCTACTCTTTTAATACCAAACATCAATAAATAATCTCTAGATTTTAGAATAATGAATATATACATCATTAGGTAAAATTTATGATCCACTTCCTATAATAAAAAAATCAGTTTCTTTATCTTGAAGTTCATTCTCTAACCAAAACCATTAGTTTTATCCAAGGACATCTTATTCTTCTGGATTTCTATTCCATCTTACATCGAGAAGTATTATTTTAGTATTTTTTAATTTAAAGGAATAATAAATTCCATCTTTTCTGTTTCTTCTTTCATCATCAATTGTGACATCTAAAAAATCTAAGTACAATTATCTTGTCATTTCTTTAGTTGGATTAGAATATATTCCATCCCTTTCATTATAATCATGATCATCCCATACTCCATTTATTGATGTTGATTTTAACAATTTTTAGTAGCCAGGATTATATTTTGTAAGATTAAATTTGTATTCTATTATTGTTGAATTTAATTCTGACATTCTTTTGTTTTAATTAGTTTTAGAAGTAACATAAGCAGCATCTCCTAACCAAATGAATGTTTCCTATTTGTATAAATATTTCATGTACTGGCTTATGTTTGGCTATTTCAAAGAAGATTAATGATTCTGGATCTTCATAATTATAGCAAGAACCAAAAGCGATTTTTTATGATTTAATCTAATCAAAAAAAAATAGGATAATTATAAAATACATTCAAAAATATATTTAATTAAGTTGAGACAGCTAGAAATTTTTTATATATTTTTACGTGTTTGCTTAATATTAAGAAATACATAAATAAATTAAATTAAAATTCAATATACAAATAAATTTTGTTATGCTTTTATATTTAAATTGTATAATAATAATAAGAATAATTTGTTAAATAAATATTTTTAATGGAAATTGAATACGAACAAAATCCAATACAACAATCTCAAGATCTTCATAAAAATACCTCAGTAATACTTATAATAATATTATTTAGTATTATAATTCTGGATTAGCATTATCAGAAGAAGCTAGGAAATTACTAAATGCCCAATAATTAATAACATCTGGAGGTAATCCTTAATTGATACAGGAAAGAATTAGAAGTCCAGATAAATAAACTAAAAGTATTATAAAATATAAATTCATGAATGATGGAATGTGGATGAAGTAATATTTCTATTTAATATTTCTAGAATATTAATAGATAGAAATGATTATCCAGAAATTATTGACACACCTATCATAGCTATGAATGCTGAATTTTAAATTGATGGATTTGAGTTTACAATCAATGTAAATGAATTGGTTGAATACGCTTTAAAAATTACTAGAACTAGAGAAAAAATAGTACCAGAAAAATCTAAAATATATGAAAGAAAAAATTATATCTACATCGCTCTTTACAAACAAAAAGAAGGTGACTGGTGGTCTTTAAAATACTGACAATATAACAATGATTAATTTTTAATCTAGAATTTTTATTGTTTTTTATTATTGAGATTATAACTTTAATAAATAAGAATTGTTTATCTAGTGACTCATAAAATTAAAAAGTTCATTATAAAGTTAGGACTGCATTAAGATTATACTTTCCAATTTGTTTTATCCTATTCTTAAAACACATCTTATAGACAAATTTCATTTAGTAATAGTTAATTTTAGGCATAATAACATTTTGAATTCATTTCATTATTAAAGACCATTATTTGATTATTTAAAAATACCTTATATTCTTAATACAATAACTTGAATTTTAGAGTTATATTCCTAATCCTTTATTAAGAGTAGATATAAATTATATTCAAATAGAAAGTCAATTTATTGTTGAAGCAAACGTGATCAAAATTGTTACAATTAAATAAAGATAAAAAATGTTAAATCATATTTATACTTATGATATTTTGACTAACGACTTTAGGTTAGTTTTAGTTACAAAAAAATAATTTATAAGCTACTTGGATTGCTTTTATTTTATGAATTCTAAACTCATTCATCAATAAACTTTAGTTTATTCTTAATAAATGCATCCAATATTTAACAGAAAAAACAATTAAGGCTTTCATTTCATTAGAAAAGGTTTTCAAAAATTATAGAATATATATTTTAGATAAATTAAGAAAAATTCTTTTTTCAATTTAAAATAATGTAATGCTTTAATTTAATTTATTCTTTTAAATTTACAATAAAAATATAGGAAAGATGTAAATTTAAGATAATAAATCTAAAAGATGTATTATTTAAATACATTTAATAATATTAAATTGCATATTACTAAATATTTTCAAGATAATTTTTTAGAATACCTAAAATAATTTTAATTTAGTTTATCATTCTATATTAACAATTATTTAAAATGAATAGAATAGAGATAAATTCAAGTGTGATTTTAATAAAGAAGGAAAAGAACTTTTAGAAGGAATAAATTATCATTACATTAAATTTTTTAGAATTCACGAAAAGATGAGATATAAAAATATTATAATTAATGGTATTTTAAAATTGTATTGTGTGTGGAAGGCAATCAGAAGAATTAGTGAAATTACTCCCTCATTTCAAATCTTCTAGAGAATACGAGTATATCCATAAAAAGTGTCTATTATTTTACAGATCTGATTGGAATAATCGTTTGGCAATAAATGAAAAATTATTTTACAAGGAATACTTGAAACATTGTTCAATTTGTGGGAAAAAAAACTAAAAATAAGTTGTTCATTGTTCATATAGGTATAATTAGAATGTGTAATTCGTAAAAGTTAATGTAAAAAGAGCTTTCATTTTGATTGTGTAGACAACCCTATAATATCTAAGACTGAAGAGAATGGTCATCGCCCTCCTAAGTTGTTGATATTTTGTACATACCATAATTCAAACAAAAATGTTGTTTCTGATTTAAATGAAGCAGTGAATTGCATATATAACTCTCATATAGTTTAGAAAGAAGAATAAGAAAAAGAACCGTATTCAGATCATAGAGTTAAGCACAAAAAAAAGCATAAAAAAAAACATTCTCACACAAAATCTCATTCTTATAAAAAAAGATCAAGACATTCTAGTAAAAACTTGAAATTTAGTGATGGTGAAGAATCATAATCAAAATAATAGATTCCTTTAGTTATTTAGTAGAATCCACATGTAGATCTTTATGTTATTGAACCTATTATTATACCAATAGATTATTAGTTTTAAGAAAAAGATATTAAAAAGTAGTTAGAAACAAAGCCTTAATAATAATAGCCGCCATAAAAAATATTTGTTCAATAATAAATTTTTCCTTTGATTACTAAAATGAGTTAAGAAGATCCAGAATTTCCAAAGTAAGAAAGAGAAACGAAGAGAGATTAATCAATTGCAAAATGGTGGGACAAAATAGATGATATTTACTTTTAAGGAGAAGAGAAAATGGCTTTAACAATTTTAGAAGAAATTGATAATTTATTTTAATGGTATGATTAAGTTTTAGATTAAGATCTTTTAGATAGTTCAGATGTTAGTAATTTTGGTAAATCTTTGCATTATAGATAGAATCAATAATATAGTTAAGATATCTTTATAGAGACACCATGAATGTTGTTTTTCGGACTTCATAATCTTCCTATTAGTACACTAATTGTAAAACAATGTTTTAGATTTATACGATATAATTTTTCTGATTATTTTGGTCGAACGAAAACCAAAGGACAGATCCTAACAAATTTAAGACTCTATAGATACCCATAAGAAAATTTACCTTTTCTAAAAACACTGTAAATAGCTGAAAATGAAGTAAAAATTTATATTTGCTAAAAAGGAGCCAGTAGGAAAAAGTCTTGTTTTTCAAGAATCCTGTGAACTAACTTAAGAGGATTTTGATTAATGTATTTAACTAGAAGAAAAAATCAAACTTTAATATTAGCTTTTGGAGTTATAACTTGATATAGAAAATGGAACTGTAGAATAATTAGATATAGTATATCATGTATTGAAAGAGGATTTAAATTAAATTGTTTAATAAAATAATTTAATGAGAGATAATATAAATAAATAAATTATTGCAAGCAAAGATTATTAAACTTTAAAAAAATTGAAAAAAGAATAAGTAATAACTATGGATTTACTAAAATGGTCATAAATAGTTAAAGCTTTTATTAATGGTTATAAAGATAAATAAAAAGATGTTTTAAATACATTTTATCCTTGTTTAAATTTAGATTCTTAATCATCATAAAAAGCTTAATTAAAAAAGAAAAAAATTCATTCTAAAGAAAATACTAAACCACTTGATACTGATTGTAAAATTTGTTTTGATTATCATTACACTGACTTTAATCCAGTTATTTATTGTGGAAGATGTTCAACATCATTTCATAAAATATGTTATTGTTTTATAGGAAATCTAGATGAAACAGATGTTCTTTGTGATGCATGTTAATTTGAACAAAATAAATTAGGCACTACAAAAAGAAGTAAATTATTGTTATTATTCAGATTAAGCAAAATGTAGGATTTGTAAAAAGTTAGGACTTCCTTAAAAATATATTGATAATTAATTTTATCATGTTTCATGCTTGCTACTAACAAATTTAGTTATTTTAAAAAAAGGTGTTTATAAAGTTAGAAGTAGTTAAAATGATATTTAATAATTCTGTAAAGATAATGAATCAAGTACCCCATAATGTGCTATATGTGGTGATGTTAAGGGTATTATTCATTACAGAAATATAGGATTTCGATTTACTTGTTTCGGAAATGAGACAATTCCCTGTAAGCATGCATTTCATCCTTTATGTGCATATCTTCATGGACTGACAATAGATATAGAAAGTGAAGATATAGAATAATGTTTTGCAGAAAAAAGATTTGGATAGTTGAATGTCAATATTAAATGTGTATTACATTGTGGAAAAGATTTACAAGATTTATTACTACAAACATATTACAGGTATCATTAATTAAACTATGTTAAGACGATTTGCATTAAATTATGAACAAGCTGCCAAATGTGGAGGCTAAGATATTTTTTTAGAAGAGTTTAAAAAAACTAAGGGATTCAAATATTTATTTTCCAAACAACCAATATCAAAGAATGACTCTTTTTTATCATAATTATTTAATATAAATGGAAACCCAACAATAATGACGTGAGTAGTATTCAAAATTTAATTATTACATTTTTTTATTTCATTTTGTAAATATATTATTATTTTTCATCTTATTATATTTACTAAATTAGATTATTAATTGTAAAAAAGACCTTTTACACAATATTGAAACAGGAAATCCTTAAAAAAGTAGACTCCGTTATTTTAATTCAAAAAATCATCTAAAAATAAATATTTCTTCTAAATTATTATCACTAAATTTCTCTTATTCCATATTTCACATCAACTTAAGATTGATATATAGATAAGGATTATGATAATGTTAAAATTTATTATATATACTTTAATCTTAAAAATAAAATCAAATAAAATCTAAATATGTAATAGGAATCGAACTTTCAATCTTTCTTAAATTTTATGGAAAAATAATTTACATAATATAATTAGAATTTATGAGTATTTAATTCTGATGCAAAGATTTTTGATGCAATATTTAATTCTATGTACAATTTTGGTCCATTATCTCAAATGGTTTTAGATGAAGCTATTAAGAAAGAAATCTTTGAATAAGAATAAGTCTAACGAAAAGAATAACAGCTTGCTGATTTATATAGATATGCTACGCATTATCATTCACATCATCCTTAAATTTATCATTAAGCTTAAAGTCTGATTAATGAATTGATTTATCATTTCAGAGACTGGAAAATCTATAGATTTTTAATCGAGTAATAAATTAAATATATGCTTAGGTTAACTTAGAAGTTATCAACTAAATCAGAAATGATATAATCTACAAATGGAATGGTTTAAAATTTAAAACCTCACTTGGGAAATCAATTGGCTTGTTTAGTATATGCAGCAAATAATATTAATAATTTTGGAAAACTTATTTAATTAAGAGACATAATATTAAGCTATTTTCAGACAACCTTTTTGACGCCTACTTTTGAAGTTAACCTGTATTTAATAAATTTATTTAATATGTAATTTGTTAGAGATATATATTTGACATAATTCAACCAAAAACATTAAATTCACCTGATAAATTATGGGCATAATTATACTCCAAATTGTTAACCACTTGTATTTACTCTATAAGATGATGATATTTACACTTAGGTTTCATAATAATCATCCTAAATTGTTTACTCATAATATGGTGTTCAATAATAATCATTAAATCCTTATTCATCTTACCAAAATCAATAATTAAATATGACAGATTCATAATTTTAATAGTATTAAAGCTAATAAAACCCATATCAATAATTGTAAAGCTCAACAAATTAACAATATTAATATTAAAACTAATCAAACCCATATTAATAATAGTAAAACTAAATAAACCCATAATATTAATAATATTAAAACCAATCAACCTCATAATATTAATAATATTAAAATTAATCAAACCCATATTAATAATAGTAATATCCATAATAGTAAATCATATATAATAATTAAAATATATATGTTCAATCTCAAAACCCTTATCCGAATATTCCTTAACCATAAAATTAAGGATATTCAAATTCTTAATAACCCATCACTAATCCATATAATACTAGTTCTTAACAATAAATAGGAAATCAGACAAATTATACATAAAGCAATAATAATTAATTACCAAATCAAGGATAAATCTCAGGTCTTTAACCATAATAATCTGTAAATTAAGGTTAACCTGATTATAAACCATAAACTTCAGCTTTAGCTTCAGGATAGCAAAATTCATCATACCCTCCTTATTCTAATTAAATAGCTTCATTTCCTCCCACTCAAGGATATTAATATAATTTATAAAACAATAATGAAAATAAAGTGGAATAATAATAATAATAGGCAAATCCATATCAAATGGCAACTTCTTATGGTACTTAAAATCTAAGTGATGATCCGAAAAAGGAATAAGTGTCGTAATCCAATAGTTATAACTAATACCAATCGAATTATTAATATAGTTCTAGTTCTTAAAATGTTTAATATGAAACATTTGAATAGAAATAATAGGCTGTACCCTAAATTTAATAAAGTTTCTCTTAAGTTTCAGATTAATCTTAAGGATTTAATTAGATAAATACAAGCTTAAACAATTAAAATACACAATAATAGTTAAATCAAAATAATCCAAATTACTCAAATTTTATATAGGATTAATAATAATTATAAACTATTAGTATTTCTTAAAATAATAATCCTAATTAATAGAACAACTATTAAAATCCATCTAATTAAATACAAAGCTTTTCAGAACAGCAAGCAAAACCTTCTCTTCCACCTCCACCTCCCCCTCCTCCTCCCCCTCCATAAGTATAAGCTCCTAAAGATGTAAAAAATTAAAAAAAAATAGATGAATAAAATTTAGTTGCAATTAATTAAGGATCATTTAATGATCAATAAATTTAACAAAATAATTTACCATAAGAAAATAGTAATAGCTTATTTGAAGAATTATTCTTAAATGAAAACTTAAAGAATTTTTAATTGATTGACAGTAAAGGTTGTCCATAAATAGATTAAAAGGTATAGTATAAGAAAGATCGATAAATGAAAGGATTTAGAAATCATGATGAATAAGCTTTATTCATTTTAAAATGTTATTATGATGGAAAATATGCACAGAACAAAATAGATAGAACTGAAGAAGTGAAATAGTTAGTGAATTTCTGATTTACAAAAAATTTATTTTTAATATAATATACGAATATGAAATATGATTATAAATTTTTAAAGAATGAAAGCTAAGAATAATTGCTTCCCTACATCTAAACTAATACAAAAACTATACAACTAGATCATAAAGAAATTAAAAAGAAAATAAAGATGTAAGTAAATTTGAAGAAAGTAAAGATTAGATTAGAAATTATTAACCAGATAATTTCCAACACCAAGATCTCTTTCATAAAGAGTATACTATTGGACTAAAGATGAAACCACAATACCTGTAATTCAAAAAAATTATGATTCTAACTCAATTATAGAGTATTCTTCAGAATATTTCATGAGACAAGGAGATTGGAAAGAAGATATCCACAGTCCTATTAGAACAACAGTTGATTTAAGTTCTAGTAAACAAACCCCTCCTAAATTTACAAATATAAAAATACCCAAATTATAAATTACTAAAGAAAAAAAAATTGAATTTTTAGGAGAATTATTTAGTAACAGATCTAACTCATCAAATCAAAAATCAGAATTAAAAGCTGATCATTTTTATCATGTTATTAACCCTCTAAAAAAAGAAATAAAACCAGATAGAAAAGTGAAATAGGAATGTTTTAATTAAGCATTTCACATATTAGAAGAAATCATTCCAGCTTCAATTGTAATTAAATAAAATCTTGGAGTTATATAATAATCTTTATCAGAAAGTGAAATTAAATAAGACCAGAAAAAAAATAAAGCATCATTATCTAAAAGATAAAAAATAAAGGCTTGTACTATATCTGATTAACCCTAACCAAAAAGTTAACCAGAACCAATAAATCACATAAAGACAAAAACTCAAACACAATCCAAAAACGTAATTCAACCCCAACCTCAACCTCGCACATAACCACAATCATAACCTCAACCTTTGTCAGATCAGCCTCAACCTCAATCCTAACCTTAACCTCGACTGTAACCTTTGACATAACCACAACCACTACCATAGCCACAACCTTAAACTTTAACATAACCACAAAATCAACCTTAAAATTATAAAAAAGGATAAAAACTAAAGGCCTGTATAATGTCTTATGTTAGAAGATTAAAGAGGTGTAAGCTTACTCATGCTTAGGTTATTAGAGATCATGTATTTAGTCCACATCCATACTCAAAAGAAAGCTCAATAGATTTTTTCTAAGCTATTAAAGATAATCAAGAACTCATAGTTGTTAGGTTATTACAAAAAGTTCCATATTTGGTTTATGATTTTGATAATGCACATATGACAGGTTTGCACTGGGCAGCAAAACGGGGATTCCCAAACTTAGTAAAAATTTTAATACAGCATAACGCTGATGTTGATGCTAAGGACATTGTTTATAGGACTCCTTTATATATAGCCACTGATTATGCTCATGGTAAAGGCTCTGCAAGGTATATAGAAATTATTTAAATATTGTTATATAACTAAGCTTATCCATGGTCCTATGATCATATATAATATTCTTAGGTTATTAGAGATGACAAGAAAGTTAAAGAATTATTTGCTGTAAGTAGAAAAATTCACCTGACAATTTTAATAACGTCACCTCAATAAAAAGATTAAATTTGGAATAAAGAGGTACCTGCTATGAATGCAATTAAAAATGTGGTAAATTATCCTATTTATCCAGAACACACAAGAAGAAAAACAAAGTTAAAATACAAATGAAATCCTTAAAGGTAATCCACATATGGATCCTAGATTAAGATAATTTTATACATAAAAATTAGTTTACCTAAAAAGAAAGATAGGAAATTAAGCTTAATAAGAAATTGAGAAATAAATTTAAACTGAACAAGCAATTTTTGAATATGTAAGAAAATAACCTTTTTAGGCTAATTGAAAACTCGATCACATGCTAAATATTTAAATAATAATAAATTATAAACTATATTGAAAAATTTTCTCTTATTCTAAAATTTATGATTTTTCTCATTATATATAAATAAAATATAATTATATTATTTAATTGTCTCGTCATAAGATGATTAATTAAGTATTATTTTTTTGATATAAATTAAATTAATTTTTAATGCCTAGTGTGCTATCTAAGATTCCTTTACCTCAGTCATTTTAGAATAAAGCACTTTCAGGGGCATTGTTGGTTTTAATTCTAATGATTGTAAAATCAAAAAAAGAAGCATCTTCTCCTAGAAAAATACCTAGGAAACAAGGTTAAGGAAATGTTGATAAAGTGTTTATAAACAGGATTTTAGATCTATTGAAAATTGTTATTCCATCAATTAAGAGCATGGAAGTATTAGATTTAAGTGTTTTAACAGTGTTTTTAGTCATTCGTACTATGATGAGTATATATATCTCATCTTTGAATGGTAGAATAGTTAAAACAATTATTAATGGTGATTTGTAAAAGTTTATAAAAAAAGTATGAAAAAATAAATATTTAGATTGTTTAATTGGGTTTGGTTGCTATACCTGCAAGTTTTGTTAATAGTTATTTAGAATATTTGAATAAATCA